TTAATAACATAACACAAGCTGGTTTTTCTAGAAGTATTTTAATTTTGTTCTTTAAGTACACAGTATAACTACAGTACCGGTTCGATACTTAATAACTGGTAATATCTGGATATTTTTCGTTATTTACCAACTTGTATTAATGTTGATTGACCTGTAGGTCCTTTTTTGACAAGCTGTTAATTACATATTGTAAATTACACTGATGAAAAGGAAAGCATAAAATAATGTCCACGGATAGTGTGTACCTACTTCAGGTACTTTTATTATTAAATTGTCTTTAATAATCTAGTTACTCGAAAAAGATGAATTAAGGGCAGAACAGATAGCGCCACTGAGCGTTAATAATTGTCAAAATCGCATATTTTTAAAACGAAAGGGTTATTAATGTTAATCCAACCTTTGAATTAATCACGAAGTACGTGTATAGAATACTTAGAATGTGTTTTTGTTTTAAACCCACATTTAGGGTATTATTAAATTACTTAGATTTTGTTCATGCATAACAAAGCATACAAAACAATTTACAATTAAGGTACTTTACAAACAACTACCTATATTACAAAAATAAAAAAATCCATTCAAGAAGTCAATGCTCCATCTCAATCTCACTCAACATCAACGTTACAGAAATCAGTTCAGTATTATACAGATATAACGTAACGCAACTACGTAAGAATTCAGTACTCGAGTGTACGGCTGTAATTTGACCTGGATAAATGTAGGTCAATAGCGGGGTCAAGGCGCCTGCCATTGTTAGCTCGGCAATCAGCTGTAATTATACGTAATTGTGTTTAGTGTTACCGCCACTGATCAGGTCATACTAATCCACTGATAAGCTGTCAATGTATCATGGTGAAAACCTCTACCTGTATGGGACAGTTTGCAAAATTGCAACTACTGTTAGTACTGCATATTATAACTAGATGGCGTTATTGTACAATTAGATCTACTTGTCCTTGTTCAATAGAAGTGTCAAACCATTGGACCGTTAATTTTTTATAGCTACAGTGATTGAACTAATACATCTCAAGCTACACCTGTCATCTGGTTAGTCTAAAAATGGTAGCCGTCATTATGCCACGTACCTACCTATTTGGTTTTTCCTTCGAGCACGGTACAAAATTGTCTATTTATGCTCACAATTTGAGCAACCCGATCAAGCATAATACATGAAATCCTACTATTATAAATACGAAAGTTGGTTTGTTACTCCTTCCGCCAAAACGGCTGAAGGATAGGTATGCAATTTGGAACAGAGGTAGACTATGGTTTGGAACAACACATAGGGTACTTTCTAACCCATGGAAACGCCGAGCGTACGGCGTACGGCCTTAAAGAGCCATCAGACCACCACGGATGGGGCCCAACAGGACTGATGCGAAACGGAACCGCGGAGAACCTAACGGGTTACCGGGGCTCCGGCTCGACATGCAGGAGAAGGAACGGGGTGGTTTTTAGTCAGTAAGAGTCCGACACTCCCTCCCGCCTCACCCAGGCAGGAGCAGTCAGTCGATGAATTTCCCGCCTTACAAAAACCCATGGGAACGCGGGCGAAGCTGTGGACAGAAGCTAGTAATACATAAAACTTACACAAGCGCTTTTGCCAATCCCTTTGAAAACTAAATTAAGTCATGACCTCATATTACATTATGGTCCTTCATACACCTATAGTAACTTGAATGAATAACTACACATACAATAATGTACATATAAAGCAGTATGACTACTCCTACAGTGAGCTATGTACACAGGGCCACTCAACAAGCAACGGCTAGTCAGTCTGGTTTCCACAGAGGCTGACCGGACTTTATTTCCTGATTCTTAGGTTAGGTAGGACTTTTGATCTGGGGATTTTGGCATCTACTGTAGGTACTTATATACTTGTACCTAAAATAATGAATTGAGTCCCAATTACTACACTTTATTTGTCAAAGTTTTGACTGAAAGTCCATTGGTAGAGAAGGAAAGATTTCATTATGATAGATTGGCATATTGGTGTTACTCTTAATGTATTCTTGTTGTACTATATAGTTTAAAAAATACATAACATCACGCCTTTTATCCCCGAAGGGGTAGGCATTAGGCAAAGGTGCACATTATGTCACTATATAATGTAACACCCACTTTTCACTATTTATCTTATGAGTCCCGTGTAATAGGGGTGAGCCTATTGCCATATATCGGGCACAATTCCAGACTACGTGCAACTACTGAACATTTTTCAAAAACGCAGTAATACTTTGCCCGACCCGGAAATCGAACCCCAGACCCCATGCCCGTTTTAAAAAAACTAGGTATAATCCTAATTGAATACATTCATATTCATTCATTTAATATAAAGTGGGAATGGACCACTCGTAGGTTTCCTAATAAGATCACAAAACAGGGGATCCTGTTCTAATAACGAACGTGACTGTACGCGTGTCCAGCGCATCAGCGCCCTCTGCCACGTACGAAATTTAAATGTAATTTGCAAATACCCGACATAACGGTCGATGAAAATAATTTTTACATAACCTCAAAAGAGGACCTACCTATTGCATCGCATGAATTTTACATTTTAATTTTGATACGCAAACGCACGCAGTTTTAAATTTGAGAATGGTTAAAAATGTATTTAACTCGTCGAGTACAGGTTTTGTAGACACAATTATAGAACAATAGGTTGCGGTCACCGGCGACCGCTTGGTGTTTGACAGTTTAAATAAAAAAATTGTTTGATTGAAGCAATGAATTGTTGTTTTTATAATCCATCTGCCTTCCATAATTTCCCCAACTAAATGTTGTCTAATAAGTTGTTTTTATGTAATCCTAATTTCTTCATCGAGGCATTTTTGGACACCTTAATACAAGGGGAAAAGGCACCCCCATAATTTTGGAAATTAAAAAAACATAAGGCAACTTTGCTGAAAAAAGCAAAGATGTGGTAGGTAAGCCATTACTCTACTACTGTCAGATATAATCCTGAATGATGACACGACGCGGAATAAGCTTGCAAGCAATAAATTGCCGCGCAATAAAAACCAAGCAAACACAGCTGTGCTAACATTTTTTTAACAACAATTTTCGTTCAACAAAAACTATTCAGTCCTTTAAAGAACTCAGTACTTCCATCTACAACTTTAAGGTTCAAGATAGCAGCATTAATTCACTTTTGCAATCAAACGAAAATAAACCTTAACGCATCGAAATAATTCTGCGGTTTACCATTGTTCGAACACAAAACGTTTTCAAATACTTTTTCTCTATTGATGAAAAAAAATCGCCATTTTGTCGAAGCGATCGATTTCGCATTGCTATTGGTCCGTTGCAATTTATCGCACCGAATACTTGGGTAATTGATTGTGTTTCAAATAAAAAAAATACTCAATTCGTTCCCGATGCTGATAATCAATAATTGGCTTCGTACGATCAGACGCACGTCAAAAAAAACACCTGAGCTATGAAAATAGACTTTACTGCAACGATTTACAGACTGTCACTCCAATTGTTATTTCCACGCGCGATTGACTCTATATACCTTCTACTGAAACCGGTCGTTTTCAATTACATTTTTAGATATAAATAAATTGAGTCTAAATTATTGCTGTGTTCCCATTGGGCATGCGTATTGTTGCGAAATGTGACGTAAAATCGGTTGAATGAAATATTTTTAAAATTGAATAGCAGTTACATCAGTTGTTTGGCAAGAAACTTGAAGAGAAAAAGAAGAAAGAGTAGGCACTCAACCATTAAATTTGGTAAACGTAAAAGTAGCCTACTTTAGTTAAAAAAATAAAGGTAGGTTCGGTACTTACAACTACCTAGTCTGCCTAGCAGCTACAAACTTAATAATGATTAGAAAGATGCTGAAGAAAAGAGAGAGAAAATCCAATGTGAACCCATTTGTAAACAAACAGAAAAACGTTAAAATTAATTTTAAAATGCACCAACGGAAATAACACGCACTTCAAAATCAAGAGCTAAAAGACCTCCATCATTACGTTTAAAAAAAGAAAAAATAACTTAGATGAGAAAAAAGTTGCACAAAAGCAAAGGAGTTCGAATTTCAAAGCCTGACGAATCGTAATCGATTCGCTTTACAAGTCGATGCCATGATTACTCGGGTCGAACAATTTCGTACCGAATCTATTCAGTTCGATAACTAGGGTGCCACTGACACTACATTGTGATCGAATGCACTTGAATCAAATTCTTTCTTCCGCGTTCGTGAGAACGTTCAATTAGTTTGGAAATCTGAGTATTATATAATTCGGTCGTGGTGCTATTAAAAATGTCGTGTACACAATTCTAATTGTCAATTTGGGACTTTGAATGGACCAGACGAGCGAAGTTTAAAGTCTTGGTGAGACATGTAAATGCAGAATGAAAATTGAATAAGTTCTCTTTCTTTCTCCATTTTACTGATTCTAGATCGACATCAGGTTTTCGTCGTCTAAATAAACCGTATGTTAACTCCTTTTCAAACACGCTGTTTAACTTTACTTCGTCCTTCTAATGCGAAGTTTACAAAACGTACAGAAGTTTCGTCAAGTACCGCGTCCATAAAGTGATTTCAAACCGTTGCCTACTTATTTAGGTCACCATGAAATTAAATTCAATGTTTATCATAGTAACAGGTTTATTTCAAAAATATCCACAGGATATGAACACTTAAAGTTCGTTACGTTCAAATTTAACAGCAAAGCCGTTAAAATATTAATGGCGGTCAGTTATTTAGTAAACTGTTGCCGCTCTAATGGGCTATTTACAAAATATTAACAGTTTTGGAGTCGTTAAAGTTGATGCAAATACACTTTCCAATATGTTTTGCTCTTTAAAGTCTTTGAGAAATTACTGCGTTATATTTAAGGACCGGGCCGTTTAATGTAATCGAGATCCTGCTCTTAGAACCTTTCCGGGAGCTGATATACTTGTAAGCTTAACCAGTCTAGCTCCTATTCTAGAGTACTTTTAACAATTATCTTCACACACTGACCATATTGTTCTGTCGTCCACAGGTTTCCATTTGAGCGGAGTGGTGCGCGCGCCCGCCGCGGTACCGCCATGCTCCGAGCCGGAACGGCTATACAGGGTCACTGTCTCGTTCGACAGGTAAGCACGACATTACCTACCTTGTAATTAAACGCAGATTTATGATATACTCACAGGAGAACGGTATACTTGATCAAGGGTTACTACAAAGAAAGGTCATGGTGAACTAAAGTAAGTATCACTGATGAAAGGAGAATGCTATAAAATTGGACAAGGTTCACTTAAGAATATAATAATTCCTACTGGCGTTTTGGCTACCACAAACATGATTCTTATAATCAAAATTATGATACATTCGTCTGACGATGCCATTTATATTAATTGCAACAGGAATACAGAAGCGTTCCGCCCACAATTTAATATTGTTAAGATAAAAAGTGCGATTTTATGTTCTCTGCTTGATTGGTCTGATTGGTTTGGTTCCTAGGGACTGGCCAATCAGAGCGTCGGACGCGGTCTCGTTTAGATTACTTTAAATATAAAACAAACTCATTAAGCCCTCTGATCTATATTGTCTGAACTCATATGCTGCCATATCATTAGTGAGTCAGCAGTTTCAGCGTAAAAGAACTTACTACAAACATACCTTCTTTTTCGTAAGCACTGAGCATGGCACAGTAGAATAAATATTCGTTTTGCGTCACAGTCCAAACGAAAGCACCAAACAAAAACTATAAAGACGAAGTACAAAAAGCTCCCATTCGAAAAATCAATCATAGTTCAAACGAAATAAATAGTTCCTTCAACTTTACAAGAAAACAAAGAAGTTATAATAGAAAGGGTCACAAAGGCTCAACTGTTGTATTGTTTATCGGAAAGGGCACTTTTTACCCAAACGCCGATGTACCCGCATAATGGCTATTGTGTAGAAAACTTTGTCACTTCTAATAATGGCGATTGTCGGTTATTTTTATGATAATATTCTTGTTGGCAAGTTGTGGGACTTGTGGATATATGTCATGGATAAGCAATCTCGAGAATAGATACTGAGATAGCCATAGCTGAGAAATTGTACAACTGTTTAAGAAACGTAGTTTATTATACTAGATTTTGTTAATGTTTAGTCAATTTTGCTTACAAAAGACGATGTACAGGGTGTAAGGTCGTAGGTAGATGGATATCAAACGGATTAGTGACCGTAAAAATTTATTGTATTGTTTAGTAAGAGTTCAGAGCACTTTCTTAATCTTAATGTTTAATGTTAAAAATGTTAGAAATGTTAATGTTTATGTTATTTGATGAATGCAGCCGTTCTGTTCGCGATAGACTAGTACACTGATGTCTCCTATGTTCATGTTAAAACAATACATGAAAACTGCTTCGCAAGCAGGTGTTCGGGTTTACACCGAGCAGACGAAATTATACCCAATGTTTATTGGGGATAAAACAGTAATTAAAATAAATGCTCTTCTTTTCGATTTGGACAGTGTTCTAAAGAGACTTGTTCTTCAGGTGCAAGATAACTGGAGTGACGTGCAGCTGCGAAGCGCGCGACATCTTCTGGTGTCAGCATGTGGTGGCGCTGGCGCTCTACCGCATCAGAAACGCAGATTCCGTCAGGCTGAGGGTGCCTATATCAGGTGAGATTTGGAACCAACCTCCACTAACTACTAAGAAAAACGTAAACTTTCAATTTGTGGATACAAAATCATCAAATGAGACCTACTGCCGTGTATGAGAGTGAGAAGGGAGATGTCAGAATCTCACTGATTACAAATCATCCTGTTTCAACTCCCGTTCCGTGTCCAAGCCTCAGTACTTATATGGCGACCTCCCCTGTTCCCCGGTAGGACCAAAACTATCAAGTTAAATTCAGACTCATTTATTGCTATTAGAGTATTGAACCAAATAGGACTTTTCAATGTCAAACTATAATAATGCGAGTCTGTCAGTCCCATTCAATATTTATTAACTGAAGTAGCCAATACGATTACTGAACATGATTAAGCATAAACAGTGTCAATATAAATACTTAGACCCAGTATATTTCTTTGGCACATTGGCAATCGTTAACTGTAGATAAAAGATCCTTTAAAAACGTAGGTCATTAACAAAATACCGCATGCTTTTCCAGAAACCCTGCTGCAGATGGACAGACAACAGTTGCAAAAGTTCGTGCAGTACTTAATAGCAGAGCATCATACGGAGGTCCTGCCGACAGCGCAGCGGTTAGCTGACGAGGTCCTGCAAGCCAGGTCTGCTATCAACAGGATCTGTGGAGCACCTGATCCAACGGCAGGACCGCCGCCTGATGCACACCATGCTTGGCACTTGGATGAGCAACAAGTAAGGGGAAAATAAAAGATCTGAAATCTTTTACTAACTAATTCTAAACTACCAGTGTACCATATTGTGGTTGGTTTTAAAATAGTCGACTTTAATCATCTCCTTTTCTTTCAGGTTTGCGAACAAGTGCGAGCATATTTATTACAGGGGACTTATTACAATGCAAATAAACAACTTAACTCGTTATTTTCTAAGGTAAATTATTCACATTTATTAGCCTAAACCTATTCCCAAAAATATAAAATTGTATATATCCCTCGTAATATGCTAACAAATAAATAAAAAACTATTATAATGTTTATCAGTCCTTATTGGAGTTAGCTCAAATCATTTTAATGGGATTTGAAGAGATGGAGAGCATAACTGATCCTGCTATAAAATGTAGATGTTTATAAAAATTCATCTTATCTGGTTTCAAATACGTTAGGCAACAAAATGTACCTAAGTTTCCTTAACAGAGTAACTAAAAACGTCTTTAAACTTATATTCTTTTCTAGGTAAGAGAAATGCTCCGCGCCCAAGACTCTAACGGTCCTAGGATGCTAATGCTTATGACAGAACAGTTCCTATCAGACCCAAGGTTACTCCTATGGAGAAACCAAAACACCCCCATGACGGAGAAGTGTAGACAGTTATGGGAACAACTAGGAGCATTGTGGGTCAGCATAGTTTTAGACCCCGGCAGTAACAAACACCATAGAATACAATGGAGACATCTGTTGGAAAAATGGTCTGCAGTCGAAGTTTGTCCCACTGAAGATCCAGATTATCGGTCTTTTCCTTTGGTAAGAATTATATTTTTTTGCTAAACAACACCTCTTTTTTCTGTAACGGTGGTAATTTTTTTTATATATTTGAAACCTTAGAACCAATGCTTATTTTAAACTCAAAAATGCCCATAAATATTTTTTCCAAAACAAAGATCGTCAATAATTAATATTTTTTTTTAAAAATAAGTATTCTTGACACTATGCCCTATCTTTCTTCTACAGTACGCAAGAGAAAGGGAAAGAAACGAGAGAGATCGTGACAGAGACCACAGAGATAGAGACAGAGAGAGGCATCGCGACCGAGAGGAGAGGGACCGAGAGAGACTGCGCGAAAGAGAGGAGAGAGACAGGTAAGAAATAGAATATCAACAAGACTTTGCTAATCACGATTTAACGTCCTCCAACATATTACGCACAATATTACGTGTTACATTACTCTAATAATTACAATTTTATTTTTATTTTTCCAGAGAAAGACATAGAGAAAGACAGAGAAGAGAAATGCATTCCCATTCAGAAAGTTCAGACGAAGAATCTAGGCCTAATAAGTAAGTTGTTAATTAACTGATTCAAGTACAAACTCCTTGGTTACACCCATATTAACTACTGAAATAAAAGCGCTCATAAAGTGGCGCTGTTGCAGCAAATGGACCAATGTTGGATGGTGTTGTGGACTTCATCTTCTTTGTTACTTCTATATCTCCACCCTTTGATATTCTTAATTATGGTTAAATCAAGATAATTTTTCTGAAAGATATGATTGCTGAAGAAACAATTTTATTTGCAGTTATGAACGCGAATACAGGAGAGCAAGTAAAAGACTAAGACTAAACAACCAAAGATCCGCACCGCAGCTGACGCCACGGACTGTTTTTCATAAGTAAGTCTTCTGTCATTCTACTAGGATCCAATTTAGATCAACTAATCTTTATAATCTAGTGACGGATTTAAGCCATCGTTTAATTAAATTATGTTAATTTGAGATCAGTCTATTTCAATCAGAAAACTGATATCAAGTATCTAGAATGATGTTTCATCCTTAATTTTTACTAGGTTTTTTCATTCCTCTTTTTGTGCTTTAAAGCTTATACCTCCTCTCTTTTTAGGGCGCTGGATGCGGTAGACATATCCTGGGAGAACGAGCACCTGAAGAACATCCTAGGCAGTGATGAGTACATCGACCCTGACAAACCGGAGAAACCTGGCAGTTCCACGACGACGACGCTGCAACCTTACCCCAAGTTCAATGAAGATGGACAGCCTCTGTGGCACGGTGAGTGAGATGGAAGGTGGTGTATTAGAGAGCTATCATTTTTGTTCGAACATATAGATGCCTTAAAAATGCGGTTACCTTCTCCCGAATTTTTGGTGTAATTTGCCCAAATTAAACCAAACTCAATATAATAACAACTCTGTAGATGTGTACGAATGATAAGTCAAGATAAAAATTATTAGATAATGTTATTGATGAAATATTGGCATATTTAAACGACTCTTATTAAATTAATTACAGAGCACTTACCAGTGGTAGGCGCCCGTATCGAAGCGCTGCGAGCGCACGGCCGCGCCCCCGCGGCGCTGAGACTGGCCGTCAGCGCCGCCAGAGCCATGAGACATCGACAGGTAATGTCCCAAACAGTGAGTGCTACATCCAGCTTCCAAATATGTTGAACCTTATTAGCAAAACGAATAAGGTTGAAAATATATTAAAGAAAGACGTAATAATATCAGAATAGTATTTTATGGACACACCTGAAACACCTTTAAATTAAAACATAAAAAGAAATGTCCGGGAGAGTCTACTGCCTCAAATTGATTGTAGGCCTTCTCTACATAAGAGAAAGCGGAGATAATAATATTTAGTCACCGAGTCGACTGTTAGGGCACCTTCACAATGGTCACTGTATTTTGTAGCTAATTTGAAGACGACACCCCTTCAACGAGTCGGGGTGGTGACGTGACTAAAATGTTCAAATATTCAAGAATGTATTACGTCTATAATGTATTCTACTCTGTTCATCACTTAAGAAATAGAATAAAACAAGAAAATATTTATCTCACAGGAGGTGTCACAACAGCGATGGCAAGAAGCAGGAGGGGGTGAGGCATCGTCTTCGGGGGGCTCGGGCGGTGGCGGCGGGCCGGGCGGGGGGAGCGGGGGCGCGTCGTGCGCGGGGTCGGACGCGTGCGCCGGCGCCTGCACCGAGCGCGTGCGCCTGGCGCAGGTCTGTGCACACATGGACTTCGGCTCCTGTCTGTCCAGCAGCGCCACCTGTGCGCTCTCACACAGCCAGCGGTGTATCGGAAGAGGTATGCTTTTTTCTTCGTTCTCATATTGAAACTTTTGATTCGTATCTTTACGTTTTTTTCTAGTTCTACCTTTTCGCAATCCTGGCTTAAACCGTTGTTCGCTAACAAGCAGATTTGCATGCGAATAAAAGTTAGGAGTTAAAGTGGTCCCGCACCCAATGGATTGAGACAAGCTATAGAAATTTCCCTTGTATGGCTAGCTTGTCTTAATATATCATGTATTCAAAAGTTACTTACCGCAAATATTATTTTGTCCTGCACAGACAGCAGATGTTGGACCGGATGGACACTAGAAGCCATTTGGTGCGTCTACGAATGCCTAGCCGATGCCTGTCTAGCACCCGATGATCAACGCGCATCACCCAGATTACACACAGCTTATCTTGATGAAGAACCAAACACGGGCCTTCCGCCTAGGTAAGAAAACATTTTCACATCATGTTTTTAAATTACAAAACTATGAAAGTTAACATTAAAAACATTAAGGGATAAAGTTTACATTTTTGCTGAATGAAAAATATTCATGTGTGTATCTTGTGCAGGTATCAACACGTCCCAGTAGCGGGTAGCAAGAATCCTGAAGAGACTTACCTGGCACTAGCATTAGAGGCAGCGTTACTAGGGTTGGGGGTGCAGAGGATGCTACCACAGGGGCTGTATGCGCAGGAGAGGCATTGTAAGCAGGAGGAGAGACTCATTGCACAGCTGCAGAGAGTGGAAGGGGAAGCGGCCGCAGGAGTCTGCGCGAGAGTGGCAGCCGCGTTACTAGCTGGTGGACCTGCGTCGTGCCTAGGCGCACGAGTACACCCTCGAGCAGCGCCAGCGCATACATTTGCGCGATTCCTCTTCCTAGCTCTCCTTCCCGCGCACCCTGACCTGGCCTACCGAGTAGGACTCCGAGCCATGCGCCTGCCCATGGTGGAGGAAGCCTACGCGTTAGATGGCAGCAGTGCGGCCGGCGCACCAGGGGGCGCTGCTGGGGCCTGGCACACCTTGCAACATGCTGAACAACAGCAAGCTGCTCTCGCTAGTGCATTACTAGGTAAGATTAATTTAAATCACTTATAGATACCTAGAGACTGCCTAAGTCAAACGAATAGTTTTCTATAGCAGACATATTGGGTTATATGGAACTAAAATAGTGTAACGTTTAACCACAGATAGAGACATAAATAAACTCTCCTCATTTTTCCTTGAAGGAGGCAAAACTAAAGTTCATGTTCGGTCGTATTAAGAAACCAAGCTCGGTGATCATACTTGCGTAATGTTGGAGTTAGACGTCCAAACCCTACATCATTATCGATCTTCTATGTGCGTGGCCACAAGTCTCTTTCGATATTCTTTAACAGTTTACTATACAAAACATGTATTACCTGACAGGTGCAGCTCGTGGCAACCCGGGCAGGTTGCGAGCCGCGCTGGGCGCCGCGCAGCGCCACGTGCGGTCGGCCGCGCAACTGTTCCGGCTGGCGCAGGACGCGCTGCGACACGCCGCGCCGCCCGCCGCGCCGCACCATCATCGAGACCTACTCGCTGCCGCATTCGAACTGGGGTTACAGGTACATATTCTATACTATTCTTGTTCATGCCATTTGCTTTTACTTTTGCAAAGGAAATTAAATTGTAGCTGAAATTCTAGAATTAATTTTCCAATCAAATCTAAATTTGGAAAATGTTTAATAAACAAGCCAAATTCGGTGGGGACCATAAGTACCTGTGAAAGAAGACATGATCTCAGCTCGATAGATAGCGTTGAGATCGAATTAGATCGCTCTAGGGTTGTTTAACGATCCCTCAATTACATTTACTTCAGTGGTCAAAAGTAACGCAATATCGGTTTTCCAGGTGTTACGGATGACGCTATCCTCGGTGAACTGGCGAAGACGAGAGATGGTTCGCTGGCTCGTCACCTGTGCCACGGAACTTGGGCTAGACGCACTACTGTCCATCATGCAGAACTGGTGAGATTACCTTCCTTTAAGTTTAGTTCAGTTACATACACACAGCAGGTTAAAAGTTTGCCTATCAATTATCCTAATCTTCTATGCAACTCGATCACTTGATTAAAGGCAAAAATGGTGACCAATTAACACATAGCCTAACGCGTTTATCACACCCGAAACTCCGTGCTAACAAAACACAAATAAAATAACTAACACCTAAAACTAAATGCAACAGGTACGAGTTGTTCACGCCGACGGAAGCAACAGGTCCAGTGGCCGCGGCGGCAATGTCCCACGCTACTGCACTACGACTCGGTCTCAGCTTCGAACAGCAGGAGAAACTTAGTGCTTGTGCGAGGACACTAGCGCTACAGTGTGCTGCTAAGGTAAGCAATATTGAACTTTAAGACTTTGACTGCCAATAAAAAACTGTTGAAGGTAAATCCTCCGCTAACGCCGGTCACCGGTGACCCCCATAACGTTTAACGTGTTAATGATATAGCAAAGCTTACTATGTTTTATGGCGTACTCTCGTAACTGTTTGACTATGTAATTCGACTAGTTTCAAGCCAAGCTAGGGACTTATAGTCTAGCAGTAACATGAATTAACGTAAATAAGCCGTAAACAGCAGAAACTCGAATGTCAGATCAAGTCAGAATAGTGCAACAGATAATAATTGAATGTACTTTACTGTATTAAAATTTTTAAATATTTACCTTATGATGACCTTGAATACAACTACATAAACCTATATGTTCTTCCAGGACCCTCCAGGTTGTGCTCTAAGCGCTCTATCAGTGTGCGAGGGCTCGGCCGGCGCATTCGAGGCCGCGTGCGCAGCGGTGGGCGGCGCGGCCGCGCGGGGCGCGCTGGCGTCCAGCCAACTGTTCGCAGTGGCGCGGTACATGGAGCAACGCGGCCAGCCTGCCAGGGCCATGCGGCTGGCTACACTGGCTATGCGAAACCTCCACTTACATTATAACCAGGTAAGACAATCATTTAGACTGTTTCATCATGTTACGTTCACCATTTAAACCTGGAGAAAAATAGGTCATCATAATTTTTGCATAGAATGTCAAAATACAAAATTAGGAGTTCGTCCAACTATACCTACTACATACGTAATAAACAGTAATTTATTAACTTAGTGACTAATTATACATCCTTTAGTAATGAATTATTTTATTCAAACTTTAACATTCAAGCACTCTTCTTAACTGTTTGACAATAAGTTTAATTTTCATTTCTCACATTTGAATGTGTTGTTACAGGACAGCCACCCTGCCATCGCGGACATCCACTGGGCGGTTGCGCTGGCGCACTCCCTGGGACGCGCCGAGCTACAGGCCATGTTACCGCTGCTTGTCAAGAACGTGCAGTGCGCGCCTGTACTTGTAAGTAACTTATCTAATAATAATAAGGAGACCCAAAACCTCAAATTCAGTCAACAAATCAAATTTGATTACAATCAAGTTAGTTCATCATACTTTAGGATAATGATAAAGACACTTTTTCCTATCATTCTTCTTTTTCCATTCTCTCCAATCAGACGTCCATTACTCTCTCCTCTTTTAATCGACTGCTCTATGTACTACATTCGTCTTTTTTCTATCCTTCCATATCTTGCTTTGTGACATAATTTCAGCGCAGTTACTTCTGTGTTAAATTAGTGACCCCGGATGTAATAAAGTTTGTCGTGTACAGTCGGACGTGCTGCGCCGCTGCTGCGTGGCGGCGGCGGGGTGCTCGCGGTCGCGCGGCGCGCCCCCGCGGCCGCCCACGCCGCTGCGCCCGCTGCTGGAGGCGGCGCTGCGTGCGTACGCGTCTACCACGCATGCGCGCCTCGCACACATCTCGCCGCGTCATTACGCCGACTTTGTCGAATTCCTCGGTACGTATGTCTGTTCTAAGCACAGAATATTTGATATATCTGTGGTTCTAAGCTTTATTTTTTTAGATCCTACACTACAAAATAGTCTGAACCGACTGGAAAACACTGACTAGTTCATTCGACTATTTACTGATAGACATCATAAAACCAATTGATCTACCTATCTATACTTAAAAGCTAAATAGATATTGATTGAAATCGTATCCATTATTTTTTCATCACTATAGGTAGCCAAGTAATCAATAAACTAAACACTAAATAATGAATACGCACTTTCTTACCTCAACTGTTTCTTGCAGGTAAAGCTCGCGACACATTTGCGTTAGCGCCGGACGGCCCCCATCAGTTCGCGGCGCTCCTCCAAGAGATCAAGCTCAAATACAAAGGAAAAAAGAAACTCATGTTCCTCGTCAAAGAGAGGTTCGGATGAACTGACTTCAATAGTTAATGTTTGTTACTCGTTCAATACAAACCCCACCGAGTGTGCAACGTTTGCTAGTATGGCATTCCATTGAAAAAAGGCATTTTGTTACGATGCGAGAAAATTTAGTTCGAAATTCCAAGTTTATATTTTTGTTGTTTTGTCATTATTTTCGACTACTACTGCACTTAAAGACCGCATTGCTATGACATTTCCATCTTTATTTTTTTAATATTGCTGTCACTGCAACTTATTTTCCAAATAAGTAATTTTGGCGCCATCCGCCAACTGTCAACAGTGTCAACTTTTTTTTCTTAATGGCAGCCTTTATTGTTCTACCTAAAAAAAAATATCTATAAAATTCTGAGACACAATGCAAAGCCATTTTTTTCAACGTCCTTGGTAAAGGCATTATATCTCAGAATTTTATATTGAACCACACTGCAAATAATATTTCTCATTTCTATTCGGTCTTTAATGAAGTAGGAAGTCGTAAAACAACTTTTCAATCCTCATGGCATGCTGTAATATTGTTGAATTAGTGCAATTATTGTTTTCATATGAAATATTTGTTTTTTTTTTATCATTATGTTGAGACTCGTGCAATAAGCTGCCATGGGACAATTTATTTAGTTACGCGAAGCAAGACGTCTTTTAGCCTTGCCACAATGCAAATTTTGTTAATGACGATTTGTTTTATAATTACATTCTAATTTAGTATAAGATGTAAAAAACTAAATTTTGTAAAATTACAAAGTATGCCCGTGACTTGTCAAGTACTAGTGTGACAACGCTACTTACATAACGAGGACATGTGTCGTTTCGTTCCGCGGTAATTTAAGCTCGAAATAATTTTACCGTCACGGTAAAAATGATTACCTCATGCGAGTTACACATAGTCTCGTGTACCCGCCGTGTACCAAACCAGTCTATTCTAAAGTATTATTTTGTTAATTTACTAATTATAAATACGGCTGACCTCGTAATTTTCATTTTTTTATTATCGTAAGAAATGATCTCAATAATTCCATTTGTGTAAATAGAAACGAGTTTGTAAATATAGTACGAAGACAAGTTAGTATTGGAAAATATTAGTTAATTATTGTAATTAGTTATGTGATCTGTGCGAGGATTGCGTGCTGTATAAATTGTGTAAATGTCAGTGTGTTCTGGAGTGGTGAAATATCGTTAATGTTAAGCGATATTCGCACAAATCGCAAGTTGTAATTAGGGTTAGTCACGCCACTCGTATAGCGTCCAATAGCAATGGGATAATTCATAAATATGACACAAACACCAAAGAATATCGTAAGTCCAACGTGAGATAAGCAACGCCATCATTCTTTCAGTATTCTTGAGTATTCTGTATCTGTATAGATTTTTGTTTTATATTATTACCAGGGCACTGTTTGTGCAAAATACTGAGCCGCGAAAGTTCTATGAATATTTTATACACATAACCAAGCCGTATCTTGTCAATTTTCTATTAAGTACACAAAATTTATTTCAAGACCTTTATTCTTCATGTGTTACTTCTAACTATAAGTAATTTGACTTTAGCCGTTATTTCTTTGAACTCTGCCTTTTCTTGTTTAGAGTAGATAATTAAATTTTAACAAGAAGTGCATTTATAAAGATAGAAATGAATAATATTTAAAAATAGAGACGATGTATGGATAGTCTTGAGAGAATAGTATGAATTGAATAGTATATAGACTTAATGAAGGACTTTTGTACTTTTTGTGGTGTGTATGAGGGTTGTGCAAAACTTATTTTGACATGTACAAAGAAACATACAAAGTTAATATTGTATCCGTTCATTGAATCAAAATTTTGCCAACCCTATATTGTGTCAAATAAAAAAAACAGGACATTAGTACTCATTATAATATTGATATAAATGTAAATATATAAAATATTATTTTTAGTTAGAGCGCTGATAGTAGACACATCCAATATCTTCCTAATCAGAGATTTTTACACGAAAAAAATTAGTAATATCTGGTAGAAAAGTGATCAATAGTAACAGTAAAATGTATGGTATTTATTATACTGCTTTATACGTGTTACATACATAGAACGGCATAACATTGTAATGTATATAACGGAACCATATTTAGCTTGAGAACGTATGACATTAATCAAAGAAAGGGCAATAAAAATGTCGTCTATTTTTTTTTAATTTAAGACAGGCGTCGAATTTGGTAGTGTTAGTTACTTCTCAAGTTGAATGTGTGTTCCGTGTCAAACGCTACAAATATCATGTGACAAGTGTGAGTCAAGTAAACTATCTCAGTCTGAACGCAGCATTGCGTAAGTGGTGTTTATAAAATTATTTTTTGTATGAAAAGAGAAATTAATTTTCATAATAATGCAAATAAATTAATGTCGAGCAATAATTTCGAAGCCTTCGGCCGGTCTGACGTGATTCTGTATGTACAACTTTATTGGTTGTCGGGAACATGTGTTTGTGTAGCTTTTTAGTCTGTGTGCGTGGTGCATTTGATTATGGAGTCAAAATTATCAATCTGAGTGCAATAGAAATATTTTTATTAATCATTATCTTTCTTATTATTTATTTTCATGTAACTGTAAAATTCTGTAATTATGTAAATGCATTTGTTTTGTTTAGTTACCTATCAATAATGTTTCATTTATTTTTACTGATTTTCTTTAACACGACTTGCCAACTTATAAACTCCATGCAAATATTTGACCTCAAGTGCCTTCAGGCGAGTCCAAATAAGCCAGACCGGCTCATTACTTGATTATGTTGTATTTTTATTTAATACTGTCAGTGGTTATATTGTAATTGTGTTGTACGTCAAACGTGGACACCCTTCAGTGCTGGTATTATGAAGGTGATAATTTCAATATAAATAATTGAAAAACTAATGTTTTGTTTTATTTTTTTTCCTGTTTGAAAATCGAGTCTCATCTATCCAACTCACGCCCAAATACTGATTATATGAGCCTCATTGAGCCTCATATAACACTCACAAGAAACATAACACAAACATTGTTTCACGTCGGTTTTCCGTGAGGCCGTGGTATCACTTCGGTCGAGCCGGCCCATTCGTGCCGAAGCATGGCTCTCCCACACTTAGAACTATCGTTTCTCATAATTAAGAATCTGCTTGCATGAAGTTAGTAATTGAAACTATTCATTATCTAAAGCTTTAAGTACCTATAAATATTAAATAATATCAAAAAACCATGCTGGAAATTTAAGGGCACACTGCGCTTCACATAAATTAAAAATTTGAAATCCGTGCGATTAAACTGAAGGCCCGTATCATCTTGTCATTAAACATTTCGCCTCGCATGTGGGCCGCTTGCGAGACGAAACGTCCAATGAAAGCTCCGCAAGGGCCCTGCGGTTGACGCATTCGTGTATCCTACTCGCTAGCACAGACTACATACTAGTTAGTTTCCCCCTCAGTGAACGTTTGTGTGTCAACCAACTAAATTAACAACTGCTCCCGTGTCTAACATACATAAACATGACCTGGGGGCTTACTCTTGAATCCAATTTCGATCGATCGACATTGGTATTGTGAAATTTCGTACTCTTGAGTTGCAACACTAGCGCCCATTGCATCTGTATTGCGTAGATATTGAATGAACTAAATGGTATTGAGTTGGCTTTATATTCCGTACCCTGAATGCTATTTCAACAGCTACGATAAGGGTTGTATAGTTTTGACATTGAATAATTATTGAGATTTTATTGGATTTAAATTGCATTGAAATTGAGATTGGTTTCAAGAGTAAGCACCCGGCTCTGTTCATTTTACCGAATTTGAAATGTCTCGACTAGTAAACATTTATAAAGACTACGCCTGTCTTTGGAATCCAAAACATGAAGCTTATAGAGACAATGCAGCTAGATTAAAGGTATACAAAGAAATCATGGAAAAACTGAACATACCTAACCTAACAGCCAAAGATATCCCGATAAAAATAAAAAATTTGACGTCATCATACTACCCAGAAATAAAAAGGATTAGAAGAAGTATTCGAGCTGGTGGGGCTGAGTATAAACCAAAAGTATCGTGGTTTAAAACGCTACATAAGTTGTTAGAACCATTTGTGTTCGAACGGCCGGACGTACAGAAGGTAAGAACTTTCTTTAGAGGTAAGTACCTAACGTTATTCTCGGTATCTAACGGTACTTGGCACAATTTACCGATACAAAGATTTCGTCTACTTTAGTTTTAATGCAGTTCTATTTTGACTGGCAAAATTACACTTGCGCTCAGTGCAATACCTCCTTTCGGTATAATCTACACATCAATGATCAAATGGACGTTCCGTATTACGCGTTCCCCTATACTTATTTATTTACTCTGGATACGCGTCAGCCGCGCCGCCAGCCGCACTCACAGAGTTACTAGGGTTGACAAAACGCCTATAGTAACAATAATATTACCTACTTGCATAGTTGGGCATTAACTCGTTAATCCGTTAATCGTTAATTAACGAAGTTAACATTTTGATTAACCGATTAACTTTTAAGTTAACTTTTAAAAATGTTAACGGACACGTTAACTTCCGTTAAAATGCAGGAGTCCGTTAATCGTTAATCCAATGCCTACTAACTACCGCACGGCACGGCTGCGCGGCGCGAAAAACAGGTTCAGACTAGTATGAAATGACGAGTGCCGGGTGGGGCGTGGCAGCGCGTGAAACAAAAACAAAACTAGATATATTTAGCCGGCGCGTGCGAGTGAGAAAACTGCAAAGCTTTTTTTTTCGTTTGATCATTTCATTACTTAGCGCCGCCTGGTGCTTACACGTGTGACGAGTGTTTTGTTTGTGACTGTAATTTAGTTAGAAAAAGTGTATTGTGCAGTATAGTAATTAAAACCACATCATGGAAGACACGGAATCGAATTCCAGCGATGCTGATGAGAATCCATGGCCACATTTGACTGAGTATGTTAAATTTGTATCCAGATCGGGGCAACAAATACTTTTTGCGTGTAAGCGATGCTTGCCGAAAGACACCAAAATAAAAGTTCATTTATCAAGCCTGAATAATTTGAAACAACATGTAAAAAGGGTACATGAGTCACAGTACGTACAGTTTGAAGAGATTGTTAAGGCGGGCTCTAATCGGGGCAAGACAAAAAGGAGAACTCATTCTGACAATGACAGCACAAGTAGTCCTAATCCTGTTAAAAGAAGAATACAACAGGGACGACAGCTGACCGTCGGGGAATCATTCGGGATTGCAGCTACTGGCAGTGGCAAAAATGTAATTATACACTTATTAACGGATTAACGATTAACGTTAACTTGTGTTAATTCTTCCGAAATGTAACGCTTTAACGTTTAACGAAGCTAACTTTTTTTGTAGCGGTTAACGAAGTTAACTATTTAATAAACGGTGCTCAGCTATGCCTACTTGTAACCGTTAGTTATACATATGTATAATGTCATATATCTATATATCTTTATTAATATTATAAAGCTGAAGAGTTTGTTTGTTTGAACGCGCTAATCTACGTAACTAATGGTTCGAATTGAATAATTCTTTTTGTGATGGATAGTCCAGTTATCGAGGAAGGCTATAGGCTATAAAACATCACGCTACGACCAATAGGAGCTGAGCAGAGCGTGTGAAACCGCGCGGAAGTAGCTAGTATCATATAAACGTCCGTTGCCCGTGTTACCATTAAAATAGGTATAAAGTTTATAAAAATAACGTTAGGTACTTACGTAATAGCACAAAATGTCATAATAAATACTTAATACTCTTAATAGCCCTGTTTGACATAGGTCCTTGGCAGACTTACTGGCTGATGGCTGTCGACTTGTCGACCTGTCGATTATCATTAGGTATACTTATTATAGGTACCTACTCTTTTTGTCGATATCTCATAAGAAACGAATCCAAACAAATGTTCATAATAAGTACCTAATTCATTTTTTTTGTTACAGCCACCAAATACAGACATTCTAAGAAAAAGAAAAAAGGTTGCAACTCCGATGCAAGTTGTGGTTAAACCGACAGATTATTATACCGAAACTGAAAGAGTTACAACGACAAATAATCCTGAGGACGAGTTTGATAGTTTTGGGAAATACATAGCCACTGCTTTAAGGTCTATGCCTCCAGAGTTTGCGATAATAGCAAAAACCGAAGTTCAAAAAACATTATCTGAAATCCAATTAAAGATACTTAGGGAAATGCCTGCTGGTGGTAGTATCATTCATCAAAAGCAACATATTCAACCACCACCAGGTTATGAAGTATCGACAATAAGCGAAAACAATGATCAAAATGCAGAATGCACAAGTCCTATCCCTGATTCTTGTTATCCTTGTTTAATTAAAATAGAAACGCTAACTGATAATAAACTGTAAACTTGTGTAGACTTACACGGTTCTGGAAGTCTCGAAATTCTACCAAAGAAAAGGGAAATTTGGCTCCAAGCCCTTACAAGATCAGAGAAGCTGAATCTAACATTTGTCTGAACATGAAAAGCATATTTTGAAACATAATTTTGATACATTTATACTACTACCTACTACATACGTGAATATGTTTCGTTTATGAGAAAAAAATTAAAAATCTTGAATTTAATATTATTGTTTAATTATTAACCGACTTCAAAAAAGGAGGTTCTCAATTTTCTTTGTATGAATGTATGTCACGCGACGAGCAAAACCATTTTTGATGTAGTTTTCAGAAAAGTGTTTGTTACACGTAGGAAAAGATATTAATTAACCTTTGACTTCAAACCTAACCTTGAACCTTCGGTAACCTCACTCACACGACGAAACATAACGGAAGCGTTGTTTCACGTTGTTGTTTTGTGAGGCCATGGTATCATTCTGTTCAAGCCGGCCCATTCATGCCGAAGTCTGGGTCTCCAACACTTGCCTTGCCAAGTATGATGGATATCGACAAAAAAAATCCAATCAAATCATGGCCAATGGTTACCGTCCATCATTGTGACATATGCAAAATATTGACATTGGCTAGCTGTCACTTTTAATACTAGGTACATCTTCCAATAGCCCAGCTGAAATAAATTCTATATTTTTTTCGATTTATTTATTTATTAAATACAGATATCAGTGTGAGATTGACTCACTTTCATATAGATTTATCACTAGATAACTGGAAAATGAAAGATACCCAGTGTTAATCTTTACATTTATAATAAAATTATGAGGAAAGAAGATAGTGCTTGATGCCGGAACTATATATAAACAAACAAGAACTTTTTCGGAAACACAACAATGAAATTGAAAAAGGTTTGTAAATATTTTTAATATTTATGTATTATGTAATTTTAATTCCCCACTATAAACCGATTAAATGCGATACAAACTCAGAAGGAACACGTACTAACAATAACAGACTATTGTTATAACGACGCATAACTTTCATCTATAGAACTGTTGTGAGCAAAGTGGAAAGATTAATTATTATGTTTTCGGCTCACTCACGTAACTGTTTGACGAGGAACTCGACTAGTTTCAAGCCATGCTAGAGGCTCAGAAAGTTTTAATGTTTACTCTTTCCTCTTTGTTTAAAGTGAAAGGGAGTTTATTCAAAAAAACTTTAACTTTTGTTTAACAAATCATTATCCTTCCTCATTGTTAAGAATCGCAGTAACTTATTAGCATCTGTATTTTATTGCATTGGATGAGAGCAGTGACACGGCTCAATTTATTGAAACTAAACTTTGTATTTAAATCAGCAGAATTGTTAACTTTGGCTAAAGGATAATGACGCCTTAAATTTTTTGGTTTTTTTTTGGAGAATCACTCGAAAGAAGTGTGTGTCAAAAATATGAAATAGTATTATTGTCTAATTTATAGACTTTAACTTAGCGTAGTCAAGTTTAAAATAGCTAAAATTATTGCAGAGCAGAGATATTTTTCCTCTAAAGGAATATAATCATTTATCAAACATTTTAATGACAACCCTAACTTACATATTATTATAGTCGCGGAGGGAGAACCTAACGGGTAACTGGGGCTCCGGCTCGACATGCAGGAGAAGGAACGGGGTGGTTTTTAGTCAGTAAGAGTCTGACACTCCCTCCTGCCTCACCCAGGCGATAGCAGTCATTCGATGATTTTCCCCCCATAAAAAAAAACTTACATATACAGCTACACCGCTACACTCCCAGATGTGGCTCATCATGGGAATAATATTGTCAGCGAAATGTTTTTGCTCTAATTTAAAGCAAAATAATTTCAAAACCGCTACACATATTATTTAACTTCTATGTTACTTGTTTGTGGTGCAACGGATTTGTAATATTGCATACTGAACATAATACATTATTTCATATTTATGACACATGCTGAATATAAATGTGGATTAACACCATTTTATATTCTTATTATTGAATAATTGAAGAAATGTGTACATTACTTACTTATTACAGTTACATAATAAAAATGAAAAGTAATTAATATTATATGTATTGCACTGTAATTAAGATGTGCATGTTTGTTTACTACAAGTTGGCTGGTGACAGGCTCCGTGGCAGTGGGTTGCATCACCACTCGGCTTCAACATGCTACTCTCTATGTTCAAAGATAATATACCAGCTGTGGAAAAATATATGGAGGTAATATGACATTGATTTAATTAGCCATATTGAAGAAGTAGCTATAACTTGAAATAACGAAGCTATATCGCATAAGACATGCAATATACTCTCGCTTTTAACTGATGCTATAACTGCTTTCACATGAAATAAAGATAAAAAGTCACATGAGATAAAGAACTGCTTCGTTGGCCGAGTGGTCCTTATGCAAATGCCGGGCAAGGGGTCTTGGGTTAGATTCCTGGGTTGGGCAAAGTATTACTGGGTTTTTTAAGAAAACTCAGTCGTAGCATGCAGACTGGAATTGTGCCCGGTATATGCCAATAGGCTCACCCCCTATTACATGGAACTCATAACTTAAATAGTGAAAAGTGGGTGTTACATTGTATAATGACATTAAGTACCGCAATGTGCACCTATGCCTATCCCTTCGGGGACAAAATGTGTGATGTGATGTTATGTTATGTTATAAAAAGTAACCTATGTGTTATTCCAGAGCCATGTATCTACCCATGTTCATTGGTTGTTTTATTGTATTGTCATACTCGTACATTAGATATCAATAATGTTATAAACCATTCACAAACTATAAATTGTAAATAATACACTGTCTCAATTGGAAGGAACTAACATCTAAGGTACAGGCTCGGCCTAGTTTAGATGTTAGTATTCATAAACTGTGTGTCTTATGTTTTTATACAATAAACACTTTTTATTTATTTTATTATGTTCCAAATTTCATACCGATGCCTTCAGCTGTTTTGACTTGATTGAATTACACACAAAGACACAAACTCTTTTCTTTCGCATTTATATTGTAGGTGAGAAAGATGATGTTTGGCTACAAATACATTAGCATCTTCATTTCAGCCACAAGATATCCACTGTTGGACATAGGAGCCCCAATAACCACCTTATCGGACCTCCAAACCTTCCTGCAACCTTACATTTGACATTTTCTAACTGACAATCTTGAGAAGTAAAAATAAATTAATTTTGATTCCAGGTAGCTAAGAGTTTAGAAAGTGTAGATGGATGTAATATAAAAAGAAGGATATTTAGTTCATTGACCAGTGCACATCCTGCTTTAGATTCATCACAATTTAAAGATATTGAGAAGGCGGACTTTAAAAAAAATGACAACGCTTTCACAGTATATGTAAGTATTATTAAATTTAAATCACTATTTGGTGTTCTTATAATAAAACTAGCGACTCCGGTGCGGGAAACCGTGCGGGGAATCCGCGCGGTAGTATCTATTTTTTTTGTATGTAGAGCGGATGAAAACCCGCTCTACTCGGCTTCTACTCGGGTCGTAGCGTGATGTTTTATACCCTACAGCCTTCCTTAATAAACGTACTATACACCACAAAAAGAATTATTAAATTCAAACCAGTAGTTCCAGAGATAATTACGTTCAAACACACATACTTTTCATATTTGTACCACTATCACTACATAGTATAAAACAAAGTCGCTATCCGCCGTCTGTCTGTTCCTATGTATGCTTAGATCTTTAAAACTACACAACACATTTTGATGCGGTTTTTTTAATAGATATAGTGATTCTTAAGGAAGGTTTATATGTATAATCCTTACTTATTATAAATTGGAAAGTGAGTTTGTTTGTTTGTTCTGCTTTCACGCCGTAACTACTAAACCGATTGCTTTGAATTTTTGCAGACGTAAAGTTAGAAGTCTGGATTAAATAATAGGGTACTTTTAATCCCGGAAAACTTTGATATTCCTGAGGGAAAACAAAAGTATTGGTATAGATGGCGCTGTGTGTATCGGTATATGTCACATCTAGGCTACTTTTATCCTTATGTGACGCGAGCGAAGCCGCGGGTAAAAGCTAGTACATACATATTTCGCCCGTGCGAAGCCGGGGCGGGTCGCTAGTAATAGTATAAAATTGTTACTTCAAGTTGTTTAATAATTCATTTCAGTTGAACAGATATGGACCATTGAGATATCATGAGTATTCTTCAAAAACTGAATTCATATTTACTAGTGTCTGCACATTTCAGGTAAGTTAGTTTTGTATTATGTTAAATTCAATAGGGTAGTTTCCTAAATTTTATTTTGTTGTCCGTCTGGTAGATTAATTTAAAACATTAGACACGTATTTTTTATTTTTTTTCACAAAATTAAATCTTTTCGACGATATATTAATTTAAAACATCGTGGGACATCACAACGTGCTACATTTTATAGCACTTTTACGTTAATGACTGACAACGAGTATTGTAACTAAGAAAATAAAAAAATGCGTGTCTAATACAGTGAAACTTGGTTAAGTGGGACCTGGATAAGTGAGAAACCTCCATAACTGGAACTCATGCTGAGGTCCCAACACTTTGGCACTGAATTACCTCTGTTAGTGGGACGAGGTAAACCTCTATATCTGGGATTTGTTCTTTAGATTTATCATCATAGTTACCTCTATAACAGAGACAGCGAGTAAATTTTATATGCATAAACATCTGTAACTGAGATAACATTGTTTGTTTACGCATTCTCATTCTACCCACAAATTCCACACGTAATTCCAAGTCCACCTCTATTAATGGAACCTCTGTAAATGAGACTGATATTTATTTATACATGTATATCTGAGACTCTGGATAAGTGGAATACCTCTATAAGTGAAACGACATTGCAGGTCCCTTGATGTCTCACTTAACCAGGTTTCACTGTATTTTTTCATTATGTAACGGGCGGACTAATTACCTCTATACAAGGTGTTGTTTTAAAGTGGCGTCATTTTTAGGAGGTAACTCGGATATCGATTCTGAGTCCGAATCAATAAAAAAAATTGTAGGTAAATATTTTTTATTTTATTGAAATTACGGAAATCCGCAATTGCTAAGTACACGCCGCCGTCTTGTAACTAGCTTTATAACGCGGCTTAACACACACAAACTCAAACACGTAATTGATATTGTTCCTAATTCCATAAAACTCCAATAAGAGACATTGGTCGCTTATTCTTATACTTACTTATAGCCGTATTTTTAACTATTGGCTCGAAATTTTCTCTTACATTGAACCTTTAAGACTTCCGTGACATGCACCCGAGAAATGACACGGTTTCAAAACTACACCTTGTATACATTTTTAATTTTCATACACAGGAAACTACCCTTTTGCCTATTCTGTCTCTGCCTGCTGTAGGTACTAACAAGAGATCTTGACATTACACAAAATATTTATATTATAATATTCAATTATTTTCCAAAGAAAATAGCAGGAACCATAACGAAATCTGAAATTGCGTATAGTTGTTAGTTGGCCCCATATTTTTGGCGCTTATGACTGCACTGTTGTCGCAGTGGTTGGGTGATCTACTGAGCAACGTGTTGCGTGTTTGATTTCGATAATGGCCTTTTCTGAGTAAGATGACCATTATCAACCAGGAGTTAGCAATTTTGGCTGAGTTTACACCTCCGTGCCTCGGAAAGCAAGTAAAATTGTTGGTCCTACGCCTGTACTCTCTTTGGTCGTGTCGGTCTGCCGTCCCATCCCAATGAGGGAACAGAGAATACACCCTGTGTTTGCGCACACACTTGTCCACTATAGTATCTCCTGCGTAGTGGGCTAGTCTAGTAAGACTTGCTACCATGGTCGGAATAGATAGAGAGCTCAATTTATTTATATGAAAATAGAATGAATTGTTTTTTCTTGTCATTTCAGAGCACCTGGCCATCGGAGCCTAACACTGGTTTCATGAAGTTGTACAACTCATTTAATTACACACAAGACGTCAACTATGATGGTAAAGTAAGTTATTTTATCATTTTGGTGTAAGTAGAGCTTGTAGTACGCCATCATTAGTAGTAAGTTTTTAAAGACAGGCTCTAATGTCATACACGCTACGGTCTACTGGAGAGGTTATCTGTGCAGGTATGCCTGCGTAGGTAGACCGACCTAGCGTATATGGGTACGTTCCGGTGTACCGGAGCGGTCTTCAGTTCTTTTTGCGATGACGTACGGTACTACACGAAAAAATTAATTTTCGATTCGGTGCAGGTCGCCTGCGCAGGCTCAAAAAACTGCCCAGGTTTATTCCCACACACGTTACGGTCTTCCTGCGTAGGCGTATCAGCACAGGTGGGCTTTTTTGGTAGACCGTAGCGTCTATGGCAGCCATAAGATGGACAAATGTTATTGAGATTTTGAAACTTAGTACAAACATTAAGGACTCTGACATCATATATAATTCTGACATCATCTTATATTATTCCTCTTATCATAAAAATAGTTATCTCTTATTATAAAAAGAGTAACCTAAGGAGTTCCTTGCTCGTTCTTCTTCATAGGAATCTACACTTTGGAACGAGCAAGTAGCTTCACTAGAGGACTCACCTACAGACTGTCATTTTTTTTGCTATTTAACTCGTCGAGTACCGGTTTTGTAGACACAATTATAGAACAATAGGTTGCGGTCACCGGTGACCGCTTGGTGTTTGACAGTTTAATTATTTTGTTTTTGACGTTCAAAAGTGCCTTCGTAGTCTAATTGAAATAACTGATTTTGACTTTGACTTTTAACTTTATCAAATCAAATCATTTTTTTTATGGCATAAGCCGGTAAACGAGCAGACGGATCAACTGATGGTAAGCAATCGGCGTCACCCATGTACCTAGAACACCAGAGGCGTTACAAGTGCGTTACCGGCCTTTTCGGGATTAGGAGTTTGAGGATCGTTGGGGATTCAGGGATTGGGGAGATTGGGAAAGGGGAGGGTAATTGGGCCTCCGGTAACCCCACTCACACGACGAAACACAACGCAAGCGTTGCTTCACGTCGGTTTTCTGTGAGGCCGTGGTATCACTCCAGTCGAGCTGGCTCATTCGTGCCGAAGCATGGTTCTCCCACAGTGATACAATAAACAATAGCATGTAAGATAGCGGGTAGCAGTGAAAAAAGTTTGAGACGTGTTGCCTTATACAAACTTCTTAAATATTAAGTAAAATCGCGGGTTACTCTCGTGAATATACTGAGAAAAGCTCTACTAGTTTCGAACCACAGAGGGGTTCTTCCTCATGAGCAGCGTGCGCGACGTCACCGCGACCGCGAACTAGTAGAGCTTTTCTCAGTATATTCACGTGAGTAACCCGCGTTTTTACTTAATTTAGTATGTCTCACGATAGTTCTTAAATATTGGTAAAATAAAAGTAAAATCATAAAAACTTAGTACCTTTTTTATATTAGTATTAATCAGTTTGTAATTTCCTTCCAGCTCTTAGAGTTGCCTCTCCAGACTGAAGGTTTCAAGTTGGTGTTAGTATTACCCAATGAAAGTGCTATAATGAAGGATTTATTCTTAACATTGTCTGATTACGGCCTTGCGGCAGCCATCAAAAGCATACAGCCGCTATTTACTGGGAAGATGGAACTTATAATGCCTTTTAGTATTGATGTCACATCTAGAATAGAACTAGAAAATGTAAGTTTAGAATATTTTATTCCTTACTTTTTTTATGGCATAAGCCGGTAAACGAGCAAACGAATCACCTGATCGTAAGCAATCGGCGTCGCCCATGAACACCCGGAACACCAGAGGCGTTACAGGTGCGTTACCGGCCTTTTGGGGATTAGGAGTTTGAGGATCGTTGGGGATTCAGGGATTGGGGATATTGGGGAAGGGGAGGGTAATTGGACCTTCGGTAACCTCACTCACACCACGAAACACAACGCAAGCGTTGCTTCACGTCGGTTTTCTGTGAGGCCGTGGTTTCACTCCGGTCGAGCCGACCCATTCGTGCCGAAGCATGGTTCTCCCACACTTAGTAGCTACTCCCACGTAATTTCAGACGCTCTTCTCAGTTCCTGATGTTTCATATGGCCTTCCTTTAAAATTGGACTGATTATTTATTTAAATAGATAGTAATACCAATTATAGGTACAACTCAATACACATACTGTTAAAAGAAAAAAAAATACAAAAGTTATATATCTAATTATTACTATTTTCAATATTGACTGCCTCATTGATTGATTCGATTCGAGGGCAAGGGATTTCAAGTTCGATTCCCAGGTCGGGCAAAGTACCAATGGAGTTTTAAAAAAAATCTCAGTAGTAGCACGGAGTCTGGAATTGTGCCCGGTATATGGCAATAGGCTCACCCCCTATTACACCGGGCTCATAACATAAATAGTGAAAAGTGGGTGTTACATTGTACAGTGGCATTAAGTGCCGTAATGTGCATCTCTGCCTACCCCTTCGGGGATAAAAGGCGTCATGTTATGTTAATTGCTGCGAAATCAACATAACATCACGCCACGCCAATTAAAAACGACTGTACGGTTGGTGCGGAGGCTGGGCAACCGGCTGCCGTGCAACGTGTCGCGGGTTCGATTCCCGCACGGGACAACACTTTGTGTGATCCACAAATTGTTGTTTCGGGTTTCGGTGTCATGTGTATGTGAACTTGTATGTTTGTAAACGTACCCACGACACAGGGGAAAATACTAGTGTAGGGCAACGTTTAAAAAATCATTCATCTCTTTCGTAAAACTTCAAGCATGACTGTAATAGTCTTCTTTCACTCGAAAACATCACATTCTGGCTTTGAATCCGGGAATCGGTTTAGGACTATACAACACTAAAAGAATTATTCATTCCGAACCTTTAGTCCCAGAGATTAAAAAAAATAAACTCAGCTTTATGGCTTTAGGTTAATATAGCTTTTCAGTAGATTTTGTTGTAAAATTATGTTTATTTTGTAACTAGCTACTTTCCCGCGGTTTCACACGCTCTGCTCAGTTCCTATTGGTGGTAGCGTGATGTTTTATAGCCTATAGCCATCCTCGATAAATGCACTATCAAACACAAAAAGAATTATTCAAATCAGACTTGTAGTTACGAACAAACAAGAAACAAACTCTTCCGCTTTATATAATTAGTGTTTATGTTGTAATTTTCAGACAAAGCACGGCTCGCCGATACAATATGGTACTATAGCCGTATCAGACAAAGGCGCGCATGTCATGGTACTTACTTGTAAGTATTATATCTATTTATATTAATACTAGCGACCCGTCCCGGCTTCACACGGGTGCAATATGCATGTATTAATAGCGTCAACAACACGTGGTAATTATGCTGTTAAAATGTAGCTTATATGACACGTTCGTAGATTTACCTTCATAGAAGCGCCATCTATTGATTACTTACTCAACCCAGTCGAAAGGTATCGACATCTGTTAGAATCATTTGGAGTTAACAGATAATTGTGACTGTCAAATAATAGCAGACAAATAATTAGCAATAAATGAAAATTTCGACTATAATTTGAGATTTAAACTATCCTATCTCTCAAGTTGGATCGAACTGCACATGGTGTGCGAATTTTATTATAATCGGTTAAGTGGTTTAGGAGTCCATTGAGGACAAACATTGTGACACGAGATTTATATATATTAAGAGATATCCAGGGCCGGACTTAACGTAAGGGGCCCGGCACATGGCCCCTGACCGTCTCGGAATTGGAAGCGTGAAGTAGAGTAAGAACAACGTTATTGGAGGCGAAGTCACAGCTACTCCTAAGTATAAATTGGTCCCAGGGTCGCCCGCAAGACTAAAGCCCTGTTCTCGATTGCTATAAGGCTAGTCAAGAGGTACATGATGCACACTGTTGTAACTAGAGGTCCCGTTAGTGTTAACATTTAATTCGATATTTCATTTCGACTCGAAATCGATTTAAGAAATCAAGTTATGTTTATTGCAGGCTTGTATTCACCTGCGGGCGCAGTGTCAAGCAACGAGGCTGTGACGCCACTACAAGCCAGCGAGCCGCGGCCGCCGCCGCCATTTTATTTCGCAATAGTTTACAACGACACGCCCATATTCTACGGAGATTTTAGTAAACCTATAATACGCGCATCGCTATTGAAGATTAAGAAATCTAAAGACAGATAGTGTAGTTGATTTGTAGATTTGGAATCAGCTGTTATGAAGACCTATCTTTGGAGTAAATAAGTGTTTTTTATTTGTTATACATGTTTTTATAAAATGTACATTGTTCATATTCAAATTGAACTTGTATAGTTTCTGGGTGGTCCCAGAAATTATTATAGGCGCACCACAATATTATACCTATGTATATGATTATGTTTTGTTATTTTTTTTATTAAAGTGAGTTGTGCATAATTTTTTTCTTATCCATTTGGTGATTTTTATAATAACTGTGATAATGTGACATCCTAAATATCTATTGGTGGAAAATTCTTACGAAGTTTCTTAATCACACAAGGAAATATGAGGTTTTCAATCTATCCCAGGCCTTCTTGAACTTACGAACTCCTATTTTGACCTGCACAGGAAAGGGTCTAATTTATCTTGAATCCAATTCCGATCTATCGACATTGACATTGTGAAATTTCGTACTCTTGAGTTGTAACACTAGCGCCGTTTGCATCCGTATTGCGTGGATATTTCATGAACTAAATGGTATTAAGTTTGGTTTTATATTCCGTACTCTAAATGCTACTTTAGCAGTTACGATAGGGGTTGTATAGTTTTGACATTGGATAATTATTGACATTTTATTGGATTGAAATTGCATTGACATTGAGATTGGTTTCAAGAGTAAGCACCCATTACTGCACTCAAAAAATACATGGTTTCTTTAGATGGTTAGTTCTTTAATTTTCTTATTTTACAGTCTACGATACACATTTGACGCCTCACGTTACGGTTTGAAACTCGCTCAAATTGATATCATCTTGGATATTTTCAGCCGTTGATTGTTTTTCCACGTTCCCAGAACTTGGTTCCTTGAAAAGGCTTCCTAGATTTATATTACTGTCAAATGTACGTCGGCCTTTCGTGTCTATGAAGTCAGGCGATGAACGTAGTGTCTTAGATTTCGTAGCGTTTTTTTCGTCCTTCAAATCTTTGTATAGTTCATCGTATCCTAAAACTAGAGGTGGTAGCACGACCAGACTCGCTGTTCGTTCTTTTGTTTCGATCTGAAACCAAGTTTAAATAATACCATCATGATAATCTATGTCATCAGTAATCTGGGTATAATCAATAAATATTTTAAGTGTTTTTAATAAGGAGTCTCCTTACTTGCTAGTTATTGAGTTATCTTACTTAATATAATTGTGTGTTTGTATGTAAGTTTGTTACTCAGTCACGTCAGAACGGCTGAAGGGATTGGTATGAAATTTCTTGTGTTATTTCAAATTTCAATTTCAAATTTAGGGCACTGTTTATCCCACAAGATGCATGCAGAAACTTCTATATTTATATATTTAGCTGTGTGTACTTTTATCTAAGTTATATTTAGGTATTCGGAATTATAAAAAAATCTTAATAACGATTCAAAATTCCAGCAAAATTGTGCTGAGAATTATTTCCATAGTACCAAGCAAGAAACGTACTCTACAATCAATACTTAAAAATAATTATTATGGAGTATTTTTACATATCACTTACCACGGCTATGGAAACAACAAAAGCAACTAAAATCGCCAATAAAGACATGTTGCATAATCTTCGAAAGTATTTTACATTATCAACTTTATCGTGAATCGTAAATTTTCAATTTATTTTGAGTATACGGTACATTATTAAGTTAACACACGTTTTATTTCCATCATAAATAATTCGTGAATGAGGAAATCCAGTGTGTAATCAATAAGTGACTGGAACTGTTAAGCGTACCTAATATCTGTTACCCAATTAGAACCAAATCAGTGCGCGAAGCAATCAATAACGGTCTGATTAAATATAAAATTGTGTAGCTGTGAAGGCTAGAGTTATTAAACCACAACAGTAGTCATTTATAGGGTCAATAGCAATAGCATTGATTTATTATTTTTATAGTAAACTTGCAATTGTGTGTGAATAGAATATTCCCTATTACATGAACTAAATAATATGATCACCTAATTGACAATAAGTAGGTGTACTTTATGTGCATTTCGTAACGTGGGTAAGATGAAAAGTAAATGTATATATACCGAAAACTTTAGACTTCATCGGGTGCAAACTGGTCGTCATCAATTTGATCTGAAGCTGCAACTTCCACTTCAGCTTGAGGTACAGAAGCTTGTGGGCGAGTTAGTTCAGCTCCAGCTTCGCGAAGTAACTCAAGTAGAGTAGCCAAAGAACTTGCTAGCTGCAGATATAAAATTGATCATTATTAACCCGAAAATAGATGTTATTGGTGGTTCCTGGGTTCAGGCTTTAAGAGATGATATGATAGAAGAGATATAACCTGAGCATCTGGCCTTTCCTCTCTCTGCAGCAATTCAGCAGTGACTTCAGCTTCCTCTACAGCTTCAGTCAGTCTTCCAGCTCTGGCGTGTCTGCCAGCTATATTGAGGCGAATGAGAGGATCGTCATTCGCCAGCGCCACCGCCCTTGAATACGCTGCATCAGCCCGACTGTCTCCTAGACGTTCTAGAGCTATGCCTATTAGCAGTACCTGTGTATATTACATAAAACAGTCTTGTTATGAGCTAGTTGATAGATTTTCCATCAGAACTGACATTAAAGCGCACTTGTCTGTTTAAAATCATAGAAAAAACATTTTATTCATTACAAACGTGATTTTTTTACCGTATATGGTTGAAAAGGCTGCAACGCTGCAGCTGTGGCGAGCCTGCAAAATGCTGAAGCTGGTCTCTTACATACGAGGAGTGCTACTCCGAGGTCATGCGCGGCACGGGCGCTCAACGGCGCAGCCCATGAAGCACGCTGCAGGCAAGTCAAAGCCTATAAAAGAAAACACATTATTCTACGTCTAAAATTGTATATAGATCAATATTTTCAAAACTAAAACTGGCAATACGTAGGTGTGCACTGTTATCAATTACGTTAATTTGAAAATCTTTACTAATATTATAAATCGGAAAGTGAGTTTGTTTGTTCCGCTTACTACTAAACCGATTGCTTTGAATTTTTGCAGACGTAAAGTTAGAAGTCTGGATTAAATAATAGGGTACTTTTTATCCCGGAAAAATTTGATATTCTCGAGGGAAAACTAAATTATTGGTATAGATGGCGCTGTGTGTAGTACCTAAATGCGACGTAGGCTACTTTTTATCCTTTTGTGACAGGAGCGAAGCCGCGGGTAAAAGCTAGTGTATTATAATTTTTTAATCCTGTCATGTACTTACAGCAATATACTTCTTTTTGGCTAACAAAGCCATTCCGAGATTGGCGTGAGCAGCCACGCACGTAGGATGAGCAGTTAAAGCACCTTTGAGTCTCGCTAGGGCAGCATCAACATCTTTGTGCTGTAGCATCATGGCCGCCAAAGCCAGGGCTGCTGCATGCTGAGTGGGCTGCTGAGCCAAAGCTGCACCGAGCAACTGGAAGGCGCGTCGAGGATCACCCGCTCGGAGGCGTAAAGCACCAGCGGCTGCTAACGTATCCGCACCACATGCGTGCATACTATTTAAATTATGTCAATGTTAAAATTCACAGACATTGGTATCATTATTTTAGTCAGCAATCTGTCTACTGTATTTCTCTATAGTTTCACATCGCAGCTGCCTAACAAAGGTATAGGTATTGATCACTACCAAATGTAAATTAATGGTGCAACTAACGTTAAAGCTTGGTCGTAAGCTGACAATGCGCCGGGTATATCATCACAAGCTAGAAGTATTTTTGCTAGCAGTGCGGCCGCTCTTTCCCCACCCCCTGCTTGCACAGCAGATCGTGCCCACTCCACTCCTCTTCCTAGCTCGCCCAAGTTCCACGAACATTCCGCTGAAATGAAAGTGGAAAAAAGTATGAAATTAAAGAATAAAAATCGAAGTCGCTAAACAAAATTCCACACGAGGCGAGGCGAGGAATGAGCGGCCTTCCACTCTGCCCAGTTATCGGGCCCCAGAGTCGATTTCCACCTGGGCCCATCAGTCCTAGTCCGACCCTGGACCCTGGTACCTATGAAGACGTGCTGTGTAGTTTACCTAATGCGCAATAAATATCGGGATCAGGATGTTTCGTCAGCTTATCAGCTTCTAAATAGGCTTCATGTGATAATTGAAAACGATGCTGTCGTGATCTGCAATTACACAAAATATCAAGTGGTTAATATGTAGGTACGTATGTAGTACTTAAATATTAAGTTAAAATGGACATAATATGATTTGATGTGATGAAAATGATAAAATAAAAATACGAAATTGTCAACGATCAATGATTGATGAAGTGAACATCCATAGGTACTTACAAACATTTGGCGACTTGTTTCAAAGGTTCTGGGTCTTGAGGTTGAAGTCTTAGACAACTGTGATATCTTTCCAGAGCTTCTTGCAATCTACCAGCGTCTGCCAAGACAGCCCCCTGTGCAACATAATTCATAAAATCATTCTATAGAATAGACAAAAAAATTTCTTTGTCCGTTTTACCACCAAATATAAAGACAAAAGTACTTAGGTACTTATAAGTAATTTTATCTTTTATTTTAAGTGTACTACCTAAGTCTGTACTCTGTAGGTACAGTTACACTCGCACAGGTCTGTGTAAGTAGTTATGGGTCTATCTTTAAAGGTTCAAATATTACCTTGACCTTGTGATAGTATAGTTTAATCTTTTACGTAAGTGACTTGTAGGTTCACTTTTATTTTAGTACCTTTATGTAATGAGCATATCTATGTTTATTATCGTGTTTTTTCTGCAGATCATCGGCGAGGTCAAGGCACAATGAGTGCTCTCCTCTGACGTACCGCGCGTGGAGTAACCAGTTGAGGGATCCGGTATTGAAACCTAGGGAGGAAAGACCATTTTTAGAGAATTTTAATCAAATATTACAACAAAATATATCCAAAGCTACTTGCGGCAAATCTAGATAGTTACCGATTATTTATTTGTTTTTAGCATTTGCTCTTGCAGTGAGTGACCCATCATACCGGACCGGACCAATTTACTTGGTCTGTTCTAGGCGGTTCCGTAATTTGAAGCACACTTTGGTAAATGATTATTGGGTGAATTACGATGATTTATAAGAAATAAATAAAGTGGTGTGGCTGGGGTAAACGTGTTCTAGAGTGGAGACTGCGTCTAGGCAAACGCAGTGTAGGGTGCCCTCCAGCTAGGTGGAGTGACGACATCCGCAGGGTGGCTGGCAGGGGTTGGATGAGAAGAGCTGAAGACCGAGCTCAGTGGCGTGCCATTGGAGAGGCCTATGTCCAGCAGTGGACGAATACGGGCTGATGATGATGATGATAATAAATACTTAACAATAAAATTACCATCAGAACTATTTTCTATGGAGAATTTCCTTCGTTTCGTTGCAGTATTGTTTGTTTGTACCATTACCGCCATGGTTGCTGTGGCAATAGAAGTATAAGTACCTACCCAATACATAAGTACGCATTCATACAACTATTCATCATTGCTATTGCTTCATCGGTAAATTACCGATACTCTTATTCCTTGTACACAAATGAATAAGTACCGTACCTACATAGATTTTTTTTGAAACGCTTAAGCACGTAGTGCTCTTGGTAGATATTGGTTCCTATTAATGTAAGGGACTAACTTTTCTTTAGCTTCACACCCTTACAATAACTACAATGATAAAATTAATATTGTTACCGTTATTATAGCTATTATGAAAACAAATATAATTTTAATAACTGAAAAAAAAATGTATTCCGAGACGAATATAATAATTTCATGTTTCCGAACGACTGAAAATGACAAATCAAAATTTGACAAGTGTATTTTGCAATGATCCAGTTCGTAAATACTACGTTTTTAAATCATTATTGTAAAATATAAGCTTCTTATAGCAATAATAACAAATTTAAACGAAAATGGAGGATATGGCAAGGCTAGCTGTGATAGAACAAAGTGTTCGAGATGTAGATAAGTTTAATAAAATTCTGTACGAACTTCTGCAATATATTAGTCATATTTTAGAAAATCCTCACGATAATGAACTGAGAACAATAAAGAGCGAGATTCTAAAAGATGTGTTAAACTGTGACGCTTTCAAAGAGTACTTGAAATATGTCGGATTTAAGCCGGTAAGTACGAATATAAATTAAACAAGTGTTAAGCGTTCCTGAAGGGAAACCATTAAATTTCTATCCATAATTAGACTACCTATACTCTGCCAACCTCATATTCGCAATTCGATTTATATATAGAACTAGCGACCCGCCCCGGCTTCGCACGGGTGCAATATGCATGTATTATACATACAAACCTTCCTTATGAATCACTCTATCTATTAAAAAAAACCGCATCAAAATCCGTTGCGTAGTTTTAAAGATTTAAGCATACATACGGACATACAGCGAAAGCGACTTTGTTTTATACTATGTATTGATATTAAAAACACGAATATATTCAAGTGCACGTCATCATATCCTATTGTTATCTTAGATTACTGATAACACTAATGTCACCTAGAAATCACGGGCCCGGTGCCGGTAATTGGAAGTGATGACTGAATTAAAACGAGTCCTATGCAAAAAGGTTTGAGTAAGGTTTCCAGATTCCACATTCCAAATTCCAGACATGCATTTTGTTATTGAGAACATTTTACAAACCGTATAATAAACATACCTATGTATTCCAATAAGATTTTATTTATTTATTTACGTGCTTTTTTTTTTAAATGTTGCCCCACATTAGGATTTTCTCCTGTGTCGTGGGTGCGTTTACAAACATACAAGTTCACACACACAATGACACCCAGACCCGAAACAACAATTTGTGGATCACCCAAAGTGTTGTTCCGTGCGGGAATCGAACCCGCGACACGTTGCACGGCAGCCGGTTGCCCAACCACCGCACCAACAGTGCAGTCAAACCAATAATTAACATTCACTCAGTCAGTTCAATACTCAGTGAGTGTAACAAGTACGCACTGGCTACAACAGAAAAATGGTTAGATTATTAAACTTTAAAATTGTGACAGTTGCTACAGCTTCCAGGATGTAATATCGTCTAAAACAATACCTATACTTAAGAAAATCTTTTTTATGCCACACGGTTTTAATGAGCTCTATTTCTAACAATCAAGCCTTTAAGTTTGATATCCATAGTTGATATATCGTACCTACCCAAAATTTGTTCATATAAAAGTAGTCTCTAAACATAAGGTCTATGATGGCATTAGTGGAGAGTGGTCGGTCACGTGTGACCGCTTGGGGATTGAGCAGTTAACTCTTTTGCTTCATCAACAGTCATCAATCTTTTCATATGTGCTCGTCGGTTAAAGGTAGTTTTAGTTAGGCCAATCTGGTCAGTATATGTCTGTCTAGGACGCCCTCTACCGACTGCCCTATTCATATCTGCTGTGTATACTTCTTTCATTACTCTATTTTCATCCATCCTTTCTACATATCCATTTAAAAATATAAATTGTCATTGTAGGAGGGAACAGAAGTAATTTATCCGAAGGAGCAAACATTGAACAACTTGAGGATGGCACAAGCATCAATAGAGAGGAAGTTATGTTTCTGTTACGGAGCCGTGAACAGGCAGAAGAGAGTCAAGTTTAGTCAGAAGAAGACTAGTTTAAAACCGACTAAGATTCTGGTAGAGTATGATGTTATTATTGCTTTTTTACGGCTTGGCTTTGGTATCTTTACTCTTTAGTTTGTTGAGACTAATTCTTATCAGGAAAACTATTTTATAATACTTAAAACTTAATTACCTACTAATGAAGAGAAGAAATACTTAAACTTACATAATTTGAGACTGAATTGAAAGGACTGACTGCCTCATTGGCCAAGTGGTCGCGAGTGCGACTGCTGGGCAAGGGGTCTCGGGTTCGATTACCGGGTCAGGCAAAGTACTACTGGGTTTTAAAAAAATTCTCAGTAGTTGCACGGAGTCTGGAAATGTGCCCGGTATATGGCAATAGGCTCACCCCCTATTACATGGGACTCATAACATAAATAGTGAAAAGTGGGTGTGACTTCTGTGTGCACCTCTGCCTACCCCTTCGGGGATAAAAGGCGTGATGTTATGTTATGTGAATTGAAAGGAAAACCGTTTATTACGCCACGAGTGCCACGACACATGTCTGCGACAACAATACAAGAACACACAAATAGAACTTCATGGTGCGTCGCAGCGCTAAAAGCCGAAGCTCAGCTTAATACTATAGCCCGGGCGCGAAGGCTCGAGTCCACAGCGCTAATTTTCAGCACCTCCTCCCACCAGCGTGAAACTCTCGTTCTTCGTCCAATAGGGAATAAGCTAGTGTCGAGCCATTGGACGTTCAGGATTTGACAGCTGCCGTGATTGGATAACAAATAATAATAATGTACTAATTGTTTGGTAGCTAACACATTTTAAATCACCTTTTTGTATTGCAGACAACAAATAACAGTCTTCTATTAAAAATAGAGAGGTTGTTCAATGATGTCCTAGCGTATGAGGACGAGGATCTCCAGGAGTATGCACGGGAAAAGATACCGATAGTCACACTCCAGCTTTTGGCGCTAGAGCGGGTACGGGAGAATCAGAAGTTAATTAAAACTGGTAAGAATACTAATGACTTTTATTTAATAAATGATGAAATGTACTATTCAAAATGTATTATTCACCCTTTGCTTACCATTTGTAAGTAAGTCAAATTACCTGAATCCCCAACAATCCTCAAATTCCTAATCCCCAAAAAAACCGGCAACGCACTTGTAACGCCTCTGGTGTTCCTAATGTCCATGGGCAGCGACGATAGCTTACCATCAGGTGACCCGCCTGCTCGTTTACCAGTTTATCCCATTAAAAAGTCCCATGTAACAGGACAGACCTATGATATAGACTTCAATAGAATCAATACAAAGAATTTTCAAATAACCCAATTTCCCTACTCAGTAATCGAAGCTATGACCCTTCGGCTCTCTCGCGATCACTCACCAACAAAAACAGTCAATATTCTGTTCATGTTACCCAATTTGCCCAGTCCCCAAGCGGTCATTGGGGACCACTCTTCACTAACTGTATTATAGACCTTATTTCCTATGGTTAAAGACTACTTTTATATGAACAAATTTTAGGTACAATATATCAACGTATTAGATTCAGAAATACAAATATCTTCCAGGTGAACTCAAAGGTCTGGACCTACCGTTCGACATAGCTCTGCTGATGGAGCTGATGAGCTGGTTCAAGTACAAGTTCTTCAAGTGGGTGGACCAGCCTCCCTGCGAGGGGTGTGGGGGACAGACCTCCTTCAGTAACATACTCACTGTTACCACTGATAAGGAGACTTGTAGGATGGAAGTGAGTTATATGATGTTTATTCAGTAGACTAGCTATCTGGGCTTAAAAGAACTAGGTTTCCTAAAGTACTGTATAGAAATTCGTCAATGTACTGTTTGCTTGGAAAAATCGTTGGTCCATGCAGCACGGTTGCCGCAGTGGCAAGTGAACTGACTGAATAAAAGACAAAATTAGAATATAAATAAATACATATTTTAAGTTCCATTAATTTACATAAATAAATTAGAGGATAAAATACTGCAATACAAATGGAAATTTCGATTTTCGCATTCATTTTTTTTTTGTGTGATCCACAAATTGTTTCGGGTTTATAATGTGTCCCTATGTATGTATGTATGTATGTATGTATAAGAAAGTCCTAACGTGGAGCAATGAAAAGAAATGTTTTTCTTTTCTCATAACATAAATAGTGAAAAATTGGTGTTTGGCAGTGGCATTAAGTGCCGTAATGTGCACCTCTACCTACCCCTTTAAAAGGCTGTTATGATATATGTGAGTCCCCCAGGTGTACAACTGCGTTGCGTGTCCGGTGGGCGCGAAGTTCGTGCGGTACAACGACCCGCGCACGTTGCTGCGCACGCGCCGCGGCCGGTGCGGCGAGTGGGCCAACTGCTTCGCGCTCATATGTCGCGCGCTCGGGTACGACACCAGGCTCATATACGACACTACCGACCATGTCTGGTGCGAGGTGAGTTCTACTTTATACTGTACTGTGTAAGTGTGGGAGAGCCATGCTTCGGCACGAATGAGCCGGCTCGACCGGAGTGATACCACGGCCTCATAGAAAACCGACGTGAAGCGACGCTTGCGTTGTGTTTCGTCGTGTGAGTGAGGTTACCGGAGGCCCAATTACCCTCCCCTTCCCCAATCTCCCCAATTCCTGAATCCCCAACGATCCTCATACTCCTAATCCCCAAAAGGCCGGTAACGCACTTGTAACGCCTCTGGTGTTCCAGGTGTCCATGGGCGACGCCGATTGCTTACCATCAGGTGATCCGTCTGCTCGTTTACCGGCTTATGCCATAAAAAAAAA